ATCGTATTTACATGCTTTATTTCACGATTCAAATAATCAGAACTTTTTAAAGGTTTTTCCAGGGAATCAAGATTACTTTAACGTAGCTGTCAATTATCTTATCCAACCAATCACAGCCAAGAGTTTACGTATTCGTCCTGTCCAATGGAATAAAGGGATTTGTATGCGAGTAGAGATTTATGGCTGCAGAGGTGGGAAAGATAAACAATTGTATTGTATTGCAATGTAAATATTTAATAAACKTTTGTATTGCAGATCAATTCTGGCCTGTGGGCATGGAAGATTATAGGATTCCAAGCAAAAATATAAGRACAAATGCCAACGTARATAACCGCTTCAGACTCAATTTGCCCTTTCTACCAAGTGGTCGATMTAGTTCAWATTTAGAGAGTAGTGGTAGTCCTTTTCTTTTTGTGGACCTTGGCTATATTCCATTCAGTCTCAATGGCATGGCTAAACAATGCAGAAACATATATGMAAATTGTGTTACCAAGTATTATTTGAGCTTTAGTTTAATCGATGGAAAGTGGTTTGATTATATGGAAGATGGCAAACAAAAGGTAAGTACATGTATAACTGTATTTAGTATTGTTACACAACTAGGTAAAAATGTAGTGGCAGCCATGGGCCACCATACGCTAGACAAAATTCACGATGTACAATTTTCAATAGACTGCAGTCAATCAAAATTTTCAAATAAACCAGAATGAATGAATGAATGAATAAACGTGAAATGAATCAATACTGTATATGAATAATAAATTGAATTTATCAATTAATGCACAGATAAGAATGAAATTGTACTATAATTTAGATAAATGAGATAATGAACAAATAAATAAATGAATGATTAATAAAATAATAAAACCAAATAAATGAAACTTTGTATGTTTTAAAAGGTTTTCCGTGAAAAAGCAGACGACTTTCTTGGAATAACAGTGAATCTTTTCAAGTATAAAGTCAAAGCAAAGCGAGTCAGAATCTGGTCGTTACTCTCCTATGGTAGTGCTGGGATTCGTATTGAGTTGTACGGGCATAAAGGTATGATTAATCTCCATCTGTTTTTAAGCACCACACTGTTTMCTCTTCTCTGTACAGCAATTAAGTAGTTCAATTCAAGCCTAGAAAAGGTAGGGTTGGCGATGCCAAATCCACACTCCGTAGAAGATATAGGACATAACTTGGCAAACAAACAGGCACAYAAGAAAAAGACACGTTCTAAAAATATATTAAGTTATTATTATTTTTCAGTTGATAACTCAGCACTTGGTCTGTCGACTGGTGCAATACCTGACTCAGCAATCACTGCATCAAGTCAAGAGACAAAGTTTAAAGCTGTCAATGCACGACTCGACAGCACTTTTACAAAAGCYTGGTGCGCTGCAACACCTATTCAAAATGAATTCCTTAAAGTTGATCTTGGACGAGTAGTGGTCGTGTCACAAGTAGCTATCGGGAGATTAGTCAA